TCTGGACGCTCGATTGGCCGTGGCCATCTCCTGTCCTGTGAAAACTGACTGACTGACTGAACTGAACTGAACTAGGTGCGTTAGTTGTTGTGCGGTTAAACGTTGCCTCGTGAGACATGATCGGCCGAGGTGTCCCCGTGTTCGCAATATTCTGCTATGTATCTCTCATTTTATCTACTGCAGGACCAACTCATGCTCACAAAGAACGAGTGATAGAAGAGGTTTGTCACTTATTTTTCCATCATTTCCAGACCCTGAGTTCGTCTCCCCACGAAACAGATGGCAAACATAACGTTCGTTATGATCAAGAAGCTTTCCTGGGTGAAGATGCTGAAAGTTTCATGAAATTGACTCCAGAAGAAAGCAAAGAAGAGCTAGGGTAGGTTTATTTATTGTTTATTCGCCTGACTACCGTGGTTTCCCGAATAGTGGCATATAATCAATTTTCTTACATATGTTTCAATACTTTCGAAAATCCTGTCCTTGTCTCTTTCAAAAATGCTTCTTATTCTCTTCATTTGTTTAATCTCTACCCCTTCGTTCCACATAGTCATCTCTCTGTTGGTCTTCTTTTATTTTCACTCCTGCCTCACCACTCGTCAAGTTGGTTTCCTATTCCGTGCAAAGCACTTGTTTGCACCCAAGCACCTCTTTTTATGTAAAGCCCAAACCCATCTGATGCTAGAACACTGCAGCGGCTTCTGGTCTTATTGTCGTTGGCGTGGCTGTCAGTGAGAGAGCTGAAACCGCGCTCCGGGATCGGATCCCAGTTGACATTAAATAGTGCACAGTGGGATTTAGAGGCTCTTGCAATGTAAATCATCGTCGTCGTCGCTTCGAAAGACACCACTTGTTTGTCGCCTCCGTGTACGCACCCACGAACTGTAGCTCAGACACAGTCGAAGATACTTTCTACCAAAAGCTACACGACCTCTTGCGTAAGGCAAATGGGGCTGATATCGTGGTTTTAGCAGGCTATATGAATGCTAGAGTAGGTCGACTGAGAAGCATCTGGGTGGTCCTTTCAAACTAGATTCCTGTCGCTCGGAGAAAGGGAAACGGCTATTGGCTCTATTTTCTGACCACCGCCTATTCCTCGCCAGTACGAACTTCAGACGCTCCAGCGGCCGATACCCCACCTGGCGTCCACCCTCCTTGAGTCAGCGACAAACGCCCGATAGACCAAATCGCTACAAGCCACAGATTACGGGGTTGCATACAAGACTACCCTCAAATGCAGTCAGGCGTTAGTTTGCTTCGGTGGGCGTCCTAAACGCACCAGCGGCGTTTAGACTGCGATAAGTTGTCTCAACCAGCATGCTTACCCATCTTTCAAAACGCGCTAGCGGAAAAGCTAGGACCAACCCCACCTGATAACATCAGCGAGCGCTGGTCACTTATCAAGAATGCTCTGTATTCTGCAGGCTTAGTTGTGGTCTAACATGTCGTGTCGTTACACCCTGGATTTCCGCTGAGTCTCTGCTCCTTCTCGGCACGTCGGTCACTTCCGACCGGCAGCGAGCATAACGTAACACGGCTTGTAGTGAGTCGTGAACTTAATGTAAGCCTACGCAGAGATCGCGAAATCTGGCGGTTTCAACGCCCATCAGGAATGGAACGTGCTGCCGTCATGGGAAATTTCCGTAAGCTGTTTCATTTCATCCGAGTCACTGGTAGTACACAGTGGTTAGGACACGTATTGCGCATGTCCAGCTATCGTCTGCCGCACCGCGCCTTATTCGCAGTTACGGCTCCGGGTTGGAAGAAACCGTGTGGTGGTCAACAGATGACGTGGAAGCGAGGCATGAAGAAATGCATAGAGCGATTAGGTAGAATCGGTGTCTCCCGTCTTCCAGGTTGGGGTCCGAAAGACTCTAAAACTGGTTGGCTGGAGATATTAAAGGATGCGGCGACTGACCGACAGCAGTGGCGCTCTTGTTGTCATTTCTTAACAAGGCAGAATGCTTGAAAAAGGTATGCATAAACACTTAGATTGTGTACTCTGTGTTCTTTTTCTTTGCCTCCCTCCAAGTAGGCCCGATCCGTCTCCATCTTGTGCTGTATCACTTGATTTGTGTACATTGTGAGCTTGGCAGCGATCAGTGAAGCGAGCTTCACTGTATCTCGCTGTAAGATGATGATGATGATGATGATGATGAGTCACTGGTAGGCAAACTTTGGTTGTGAGCGAAACTATCTATGAGGCTGACGGTTCGCTTATTCACAATCAACCGCGGCGTCTTGAACGCTGGGCAGAGCACTTCTAAGCACAGTTTAACTGGCCACCAGCGTCAGCTTCTCACACAGGTATTCCGGCACATCCCCTGGTCTGTCTCAACAGACCCCCCTTCTGAGGCGGAAATTTGTAAGGAGGTTCAAGACTTGGGACCCCACAAATCGTCGGGCTCCGATTGTCTTCTCCCTGCTCTACTTAAAGCTTGTTATAGAACTACAAGTCCTGTTCTCTGAAGTTTTGAACACCGAGCAGGTCCCCTCCTGGTGGAGGAGTCGATTGTCGTCCCCATCTTTAAAAAGGGCCCGCGCAATGATTGCGCCAATCGTAGGAGTATAGGTATCATTCCAATAGCGTCAAGGCTGTTATAGTCCCTCATTCTTCGTAGATTGTACAAAACTCGTGAGGAACTTGCCCGCGAGGAGCAGGCTGGGTTTCGTACCGGTCGTGGCTGCATCGACCGAATCTTCACCCTCCGTCATGCTTACCATAAACCGACGATCATTGTGTTCTTAGACTTTCGCGCGGTCTTCGGTTCTGTTGATAGGACCGCACTATGGAACTGTTTGTTGAGGAATGGAGTACCAGAGAAGTATGTTTCGATCCTCAAGGAGTTATATCGTCAGACCTCAGGTCGGGTTAGGGCTTATGGCCAGCTTTCACCACCCTTTGCCGTCTCCAGTTAAGTTCGACAAAGCTGCCCTATATCCCTATTCCTCTTCAACTTCGTCGGGACACTTTGT